CACGTTTCTTTGGCCCCGCGCGCGCGAGCGAGTGCAATAAAATTTACAATTCCAATTAGTTTTATTCAATGAAACGACGTGCGTTCGTTACCTCGTCTATTCTCCCAACACGATATCTCGTGTCAGGAAAGTCGCGCCGTCGCGCGAAAGAAACGAGATACGTCGGGGGACGTCGTAACGCGAAAGGCGAGAGGCGCGCACGCGGTTAAAGCTCCTCCGCTCTTTCCGCTTCGAGAGATATGTTGATCCTCGTCGTCCGACCAATTTAAACGGCTCTAAATGTGTCGTGGGGTTTCATTCTTCATTCGCGGATATCTTGATTCGCACGTGGCCGAGGCGAACGCGGCCGGCCCGGCGCGGCGCGCCCGATGCCGATCTGATCGAATAACGCCGCCGATGCTCGCTATTTAAATCGCGCCGCCTAACGCGTTTACTACAAGCGCGTCAACGCTAATTCACAAATCTTGGTTACGAGAGATGGAGTCGGACGCTGAAACGTTCTCTATATCGGTCCCCTCGCGATTGAGTATCCGAGTAGTCTGAGACCTATTAACGGTGATGTATCGCTATCTCGCCGTCGCTCTTCGCGCGCCTTCATTAATAAATATCTGAGGTGCCGGATTACAATGTTGTGTAATCTAACAGCGGAGTTATACAACTCAAGTAGTAAGAATGTTCAAGTACTCCCGAGCACTCCCGGAGTCGTAACGTTAAAGCTCGTATTTTTGTACGTGCGGAGAAGTAGACAATCTGGATTTAGCTATCTGAGCTACACGTGTATCTTTGCGAGGAGAGAGTTATTAAAAACGCATCTCTATCGCATTATTCTTATATAGAATATATTTAAGGGCTTAATGCCAGCTTGATCAAATCGATCGATTAAATTCGTTAAGCTTTCAGAGTCAGGGTCAGGAGTGACGGGTCAACTCCAATAAAATTACTTATTCCTTATTTTTAGATAATTATCTACGCAGATACATGTTTGAGTTTAATCTCATCTCATGGAAGCAATATTTTGACGTATTTTGAAACTTTTTCTTATAAAGCTGTGTTTGTTAAAGCTGCGAAGCTTGCCTACAATGCCAAATTTTGCAATTTAACTCTTAAATAATTATAATATTATATCATAAATGATTATCTATTTTTTATCTACTTCTTCGAGTTCAACCATATTTCATCTCATAAAAGTAATATTTTGGCATGAGATTTTTTTCTACGTATTTATTATAAGGGTACGTATTTATTATAAATGTTATGGAGCCGGATTCTACAATATGGTTCTTACAAATTTACAACAAATACAACAAATAAAAATATCTGCACATTATTGCATTAATAATGTAGCACGTAATCTAATGACACATTAAAATCCGAATTATTTATTCCAGTTCTTTTTTTAATCGCTCTATAGAGATTTGTAAGTAATTACTTACAAATCTCTCATTTTAACCGTAATATAGGTGAACGAGCGATTTATCTAAGAGGTCTGGTTAATCTCTCCTGTCGACTCTTAATTTTCTTCAATTACTTTCACAAGCAGCTCGCTTTTACTTTAAATGAAAATTGTATATTGCCTCTATAAAAATAAAATTACATCACTTAATAATCCGTTTTTTTTTTAATTAAACACGTCCGATCGTATATTTTAAATTTTCTTCAAAAGTTTCTTTTGTTGGAGGCAAACGCAACGGATAAAGTCCGACGAGCGATGCCGGCAATCTGAAAGACTTTGCGCGATTACCATCGGTACTTTTCAAGGTATGCCTGCAATGGAATCTCAAAGCTACACTGCTAAAAAAAAGCCCGGAATGGCATTGCCATAGTCCGTACCTGATACCACCGTGAAGAATGCAGATGATAAACATTCGGAATGAGCTCGTAGGGGCAACAGGGGGCAGGATGCATTAAGGCTCGATTTACACCGTGGGGATGATCCCGTGGGCACGTCCCATTCGAGATCCGGTTGCAATCCGATTAAATGTTCTTGGAAACGTTTCGATAGAAAACCGTGGCTGGCAGCCACGGTTAAAGTCAAGATACGATCTCGCACGGCGAACGATTATTCGATTCGCACCACGAGAAAGCGATCACATTCCGCTCTAAATATTTCAACGTGTCCATCGGCAATTGTGATCAAGTTACGATATGATTTACGTGTTACGAGCAATCCTCTGAAAACTCTCGTCGGACGAATTAAAGCGAAATATCGTTAAATCCAAGAGCGTATTCAGAATTTTTTTTCTCGGGAAGAAGGGAAAGTTTATTAATAGAATTAATAAACTTTCCCTATATAGAAATTTTAATACAGACATTTTTTCCGTTAAATTGCCTTTTTGGATATTTTAGACCTTAAAACATCTCCTTGTTTCTGATTTTAAATGAGAAAAATATTAGGTTTTCTAAATGATAGCTTTAGCCTTATTTTAACTTTTTTTTTTTATTTCAGGAGAATTTGAATTCCCAAAACTCCCTTCCCTTCCCCTGAATATGACCATATTACACCAACCTTACGTAATTTTTTTAAACCGCGAATTTTTATCGCGCGTCAAAGACGAGTCGTTGATTTAAAAATACGTCGTTCCTGTCGTCCGAAAAACAATTCGAATCAATGATGAGATCGTTTATTTTTGGATTTTCGCGATTCTTCCTTCCGATCAGACAACTCCCCGGCAGCGTGGTGTGAATCCACCCTAAAAGTGGAAAGCGGAAAGACCGCGGCGCGGGGAAGTCCGGGGGAAACACGAGTCCTCTTTTGCTTCGTTTTGCCCTCAGGTATTTCCGAGGAGCGCCTCCGCCGTCGGGCGGTTTCGCTCGGTGCGGTAGCGAAGTGCAGTCGCATGCGTAAACGCTAAAATAGAATAGCGCGCACGTCAAACGGCATTACAGGCCTCCTAATTTCTTAGCTCGGCTCATTTTCGGCGCGTTTCATCCGCGCGTTTCACGGCGAACCGCGGATTTGTAACGCGCGCGGTATGACGCGCGCGTACGAGGAGGACGGGGGGAAGGGAGGTGAGGGAAGGGAGGTAGGGCTCGTATCAAAGCGGATGTGCCTTTGAAGTGGCCGGTGCGTTAATTGCCGCGGAGTTTTCGATCGTTTCGCTTACCCGAGCCCGCCGGCTCGTGGCATTAATGGGACTCCGGGAAAAAATTATGAGAGAGAGAGAGAGAGAGACCCCATCGCGCGCGCCGGTTATAAATAAAGCGGGGGCCCCCTCGAGCATTTCGCCGAGACTTCGCAATACCCCGTGCTCGTTGTGTATCCGCCGGTACCCACTTGTCTCACTTATCATCCGCGATACTCCCTATCGCTCAGCCGCATCTGGAAAAAGTTTCTCCTGACGCTTTCGCGTCGTATTTACGCCGCGCGTTGCTCATCTCCTGCGAAGTCAAATAAGAAAGACGGGACTGCGGATATCCGCTCTGGGAGGGGATGAGAGAGAGAGAAGGAGAGAGAGAGAGAGAGGGGGGGAGGGACGGGAATCATTCTAATATTCAAGAATTAACTTTATCTGCGCTTAGCCATCGCCTCGTGCGAGATTAGCAGGAAATTGGTGGCTAATTGGCGGGACGGAGAGTCGCATAAATTGATATTGATTCTTGACGTCTCGGTCATCGGAAACTGCTAACTGAAAATATGGAGATAATTATATATGTAAATTAAAATTATGTATAAATTACGATGCTTCTGAGTTGATTAACGGGAACGCGTGCTCACGCGTGTATCACGAGGGATTCGTGTCCGGACGGGCTATCAGATAGGGCGTCATAGGAGAATTTACACTTAATATTTTTGCAGATATTAATAGGCGTGTGGAGTTATCTCGATTTCCGTAGATTTTTCTTGGAAAGATTTATGTAACGTCGCCGATGACACGCGAGAGAAGAACCACCGGGGGATTATCCGGAATTTAGCGTTTAGCCTTAAAAAAATTTTTTTCCCGTTAATAATCCAAGGTAAAACTGTTTCTTTATGTTTCGAAGCGTTTGATAATTTTGGCACGTTTCAAACGTTTCTCATTTTCATTTCCACGGTCGCCCCGTTAAAACATCGGCGGGACCGTTCGCGCGAGGGAGCGCGGAAACAAGTGTAAAATGTTTTATTTTCCCAAAAACGTTTCAACTCTAAAATGGTTACGGTGGGCGCATCCTATCTTGGCACAGGCCCAACAACACACAACTTCACCGAGTCGAAGGAAATCCTTATACTTTCCGTAACATTTCGACAAAGAGCCGCGCCGCAGCCGTCGAGTGCACATAACAGTATATTTCTCCGCCGAGGGAATTACTTAAATTTCGCGAGGATAAAGCACAGCTCTTCTAAGTTTAAGGGGGAAGCACGCGCGATAATTTCGCCAAGTCACGAGCAAATACGGCTTCGCAATGACAATACTTGAGCGTGTGAAAATAGTTGGTGACCGGCTCGTACTTGATCTTGAAATTGTTTCGGAAATAACAAATCGGGAATAACGCAAACTCGCTCGGACGTACGAAAATTTCATGAAATTCGTGAGGTAGAATTAATCCGGCTTTTACGGTGAACGCGTAACCGGATCTTTTTCTCGCGTGATCTAAATTGAATCGTTCGCTACGGAACGGAAGACGAATCAATCTTTTTTGACAAGTTCATTTCGAGGACCGTACTTTTTCCTCGAAAACAATAAATATCTGTTATATTCAAAAATGCGTTTAATAAATCATTGCTGCATTCTAATAATTTTTCCCAAAAAAAAAGGATTCAATAATAAACATCAATAAGGATCTTTTCTGTGAATTTTGAACTTCCTTTTTTTATGAAACACATTCTTTTTATAATTAATTAATTAATTTAATTGTACTATTTAATAAATATTTTTTGCGTTTGAAAATATAGTATAGAAATTGAAGAGATTTTTTTTACAAAATTTTAATAATTTTTGAACTTTAATAATAAACGATTTGGCAAGGGTCTTTCCTCAATACTAAGAAGCTCTCTTTTTTTTTTTTTATAACACACGCTTTTCTTGTATTGATCAATCTAATTAGGTTTCCGGGTAGAAGACGCGCGTAAAGACGCGATGAGTCGCGTGCGGATATTTTCGTGCGCTTTCTCCGAAATTTTCCGAGACGCGTCACTGTCCGCTCTTTCCTCACTTTACGAAGTTGGGATGTACAAATTAGATGATGACAGCGCGGAGCTCTCGATAAAACTAATCATAACTGCGCTCCCCTTTCTTGACATTCTTCAAAAAGAAAAGAAAGAATTCTGAGGAATTTACGGTGACTTTATTGCGGCATCAAAACGTAAGACGAAACACGCGAAACCTCGAGAGCGAGACCTCGCGTCGTAAAGATTTTTCGCCTCCTTCACGGACACTTTCCGAGAATACTGCGGCGAAATTCTGGTAACCCGCGAAGAAACTACCTGTAAACATCTCAAAGCGTATAATGTTGCACTTTTATTATTTTTTTCCAATTACGGTGCAGAACCGCGAGAACTTGAACGAAAATTTTTCTTTTTAGAATACCCGAGGAAGAGTGTGAGATAAGGTACTTTAAGAGCCCGCATCCCGCTGGTCCTAATCTTCGAATCGAAAACTCGCGGAGATGAGCGAGCTCGACGAATCTGCCCGTGTCACGACAGGCCGACGATATCAACAATTCGAATATTTGTGTATTCGAACAGCCAAGTTTACGATACGAACGTGAATGAGAATACGAGAAGGATGCGCGAGAGGACTGTCGCCGGAACAGGAACAGCGGATTATTCCAAAAGTTCCATCAGCGTCAATCGAACGCTATTCGACGAGAGATTGGCAAACTTTTTCGAAAAAAGTGCACATTCGTTGAGTAAAGTGGAGTATAAGAAAATGAGGAACGCACCATAAGAGGATTGTATCACGTTTCTTTGCGGAGGGAAATGTGAGGCTAACGTGGTTCAGAAGATTGAATGCCAAAGATGAATAATAGTCGCTACTTAAGAAGACAGTATTTATAGGAATAATAAGATTTAAAGTAATGCATAAGTCATAGAAAGATCTAGTATTTCGCAGAAATTTCGATCAAAAAATCTACCAAAGATACTCCTAATCTGGAGTTGGATCGTTGAAGCGATGCATATATAACATACATATATTTTTTCGATACTCAAAGGGAGATATATTTTCTTGCAAATCAGAGGGATCCGTAAGGATCCGATAATCGAAGAAAATGGAAGTAGGTCATAAAGTGAAATAGGCATCTCTTTTCGGGAAACTATGAAGGAGGTTGGGAAATATGGATTGAATAAAGAAGTACACAGTTAGTACTTTTTTAACAAGATCCATGCGCGTTTTCGAGACCGTCGCTTCAAGTTCTGGACACGTGCCGTGCTCGAGAGTGAAAAAGTGGACAGAAATCGAAACTTCGGCGGGGCTGAGAAACGGCCTCGAGGTCGCGAACGGTGGAAGATGTAGGAAAAGGGGGGCGAGAGAGCGACTTGGAGGGACGCGGAGAGTCCTGCGGGAATCCGTTATTCCGGGGAATCGCCGTGGCTCGGCGTAGCCTCTGATCCTAATTCCGGTATCGTTGCGATACCAAAATGCTGGACATATTTCGCGGTCTGAAGAGTCTCATAAAGATCTCGCACATCCATATCGACAGCGCCGTCTTCCGCTTGCATTACAGCCTGACTGTGATCCTGCTGATAGCGTTTTCCTTGATCGTCACGACCCGTCAGTACGTCGGCAATCCTATCGATTGCATACACAGCAAGGACCTGCCCGAGGACGTCTTGAACACTTATTGCTGGATACATAGCACGTACACGATAACCGCGGCATATCGGAAGAGAGAGGGCTCGGAGGTGCCTTTTCCCGGTGTCGACAATTCCAAATCGTATCCTGAAACTGAGCGAAAGGAGTACCGATATTATCAGTGGGTCTGCTTCATGCTGTTTTTGCAGGTAATCGATCGACAACGACACACATGTCGTTTCTTCGTTTTAGATGCTCGCACTCGACGAATTTAACGTTATCAATTATAAGCGAAAATTTCAGATAATATTTGATCTCTTGAGTCCTGTGCATAATCGAGGAAATATTAGGAATATTAGAAATAAATATTAAATTTTGGAAATAAAAAAATGATGAATTAAATAAAAATTAGAACCTTTTAACCTTTATTTTTAATTTTTATTTCGCAAACTTTCTATTCTTATATAATCTTATATAAATCTAATATTTCGTCCATTGTACGTCTTAACAGAATATAAATTTAAAATCATGACAAAGGATAAATACGTATAGATGTATAAAGACACGTAATAAATGTAAATAATATCGAAGAGCAACGTTTCATGATGACAGAGTGATGACAGCAAGTCGCCGAATACAAGTGTGCAATCTATACATATAATATACATTTTATAGCGTATATATATTGTAATTATTTTTGCAAATGCAAATATCGAAATATCGCCTATGCATGCAAAGGCAATAATCGCGCCAAATGGAACGTGAGCGTAAGAGAAAAATCTCGTTAAAATTTATGTGTGTCTATTTAACGCCAAATGTAACAGCCCGATTCTAACTGATGCCTTTCGCGAACGCATATCGTCGATTAGACGAGTGAAACATCAAGCGCCCGCGTTTAGCGTCGAATGTGCGGTTTGCGTACGGGCCATAAAACGTACCGGTGCTTTTAGCGCTCTGCACTCGTAAGCGTTGCTCGTCCATCAATCCTTCCGCTCACAGCTCGAACTCGAACGACTTATACTCGTTGCCCGCGACGGCTTACCCCCATCTAGTCCATTGCCAAGAGAGAAACCTTAAGTGTAACAATGCACTAAACTTCGTCATTGAGGATTCGCCACGTGCGGTCGTCTTGTGCGATTCGATCAAAGACGATTACGATCTAAGACAATCTCGGACAATCGTGTCGCCCGTCCAGCCCCAGAAAATTGAACCATGTCACGCACGGTTGCATGATTGACGTCGTATATTACAACACCACTCACCCCCCCCCCACACACACACACACACACACACACATTTTAGTAAAAAATAAATGTAAATTCGCACTATTTGACGAAATTAAATAAATATGGCTGTCAAATTATTTTCGCAACAATATAGAAATATTAGTTAAAAAGAGTAAAATGTTACGTTTAATGCGAAATTGAGTATCGGACACACACTCGCTGTCGTGGACTGATAATTTCAGCCGGCACGAAAGAAGAAGAGTGAAGATTCGCTATAGGAAGTTTCGGCGAAAGGGGTTAATGGCGCGGCGCGAACACCTGAAATAGCGATCCATAGTATTTTCTTTGTGCTCGCGCGCGTTTCTTTCATGCTACTCGCATTGATGTCTCAAAATAAACTCAGTCGACGACAGCCTATACGTATCCCCCTACGAAGGTTCTCTTTCTATTTCCTCGTCTCCCTTCGCCGTGTATTTTTTCATCGGCCGTCTCAAAGCAAACTGTACTGTTTACAACGAGTAGTCGCCGCCTTTTTACCGATGTGATTCCCTTTCACCGATTATATCTCCTCGCGCATTTCTATAATTATCGCCGAGCTAATTTCTCTCCACCATTTTACCGAATAATGAATCCTGTCCATGGAGCTCCTGCCTCTGCGAGTTTCGTCCGTCCTTCGTCCCGCGTCACATCTCTTTTAATCTCCTTGGTAATTGAATTTTTTCCTCCTCAAGAAGCAGAACGTTTCTTTGAAATTATGAAAAATATCAGGAATATCGGAGGCGATAAATTAAGACTATATCCCTTTGATACGAAGCGCTATGGCTGTCTGTGTTGAAAGGATTAACGTTCTTTTCAGTATCTCGGGGGTTGGATAATCGCGTTAATGACTGCAAGATTACTTCGCGGCTGAAGGAGCCGACGAAAAGGACGGCTTAATGAGCATCCCAATCAAGGGCAGATCAATCCCGATTTCTTAATCGGAACACGAATGTCTTACCTCGATTTTTCGTCGTCTTTTTGTCGCTCTCCACTTTTCCCGGCGCACGGGGGAATAAAAGGACGACGACAAGTGCTCGGCTTCGGTATAAGTGTCTATTCTGGTCCACCGAAATGTGCTTTTACACATGCGATAATGGCGCGTTTAATTTCGTTGCCTGGAATATGTGCGCGCACCGCGCTCGTAACATGGTCGATTAAGTACATTTTCCATGATGGAGGTCGCCGAACGATCCGCCTTTTATTTCCCGTCCGCGATTACAATTAGGACGGTGAGCTTACAGAAATCCGTTGCTCTTGTCTCAATAATATAACCGTTGCGTCATGCAACGTAACGAAGAAAGATAAAAGGATTTTAGGGAATGGATCGTGTCTTACAGCCATTAATTATTTCACGTGGATATTTCTTTCTCTTGGCCTCGAACAGAAATAGATCTCTTCCGTGATGCGTTATTATTACGAGAGTTCAACGTAAAGCAAAATTTGACTTAAATATCTGACGTTGTCTATAAAATTTATAATCAAAATTTATATTTAATATAAATCTATCTAATGGTACCTAAAATAATCAAAATTGGTAACGTTTTAATTATTTGACGATCTAATCAATTTTATGTAACAATATTTAATATATCTACGTGCATTGATGCATTAACATTTTTTTCTTAGTCTTAGTCTTAAAGTGCAAGAACGTGTCATCAGTGTATTTGTGTGTGTGTGTGTGTGTACGTGGTTACTGAGTCCTATTAATATTCATAATCATGTCATAGATGACTTCGGAATCGTTCAATGTCTTGATATTAAATCTCATTGATTCATTCGGAATAAAATGAAAAAGAGCTACGTGTTGTTATACATTGAAAATCAACGTGCGATTGGAACTGTTTATACGTCATCAGTGTCAGACAGTGTGGCATCATATCAGATCGCGGACAATACGTTTTGATGTTTTGTCGATCAGAGCCTTTGGCCAACCATGCTGACCCAGACGTTTGCAAGATAATATAAGTTATGTGTTTAGTATCGAGGTCAAGGGATGCCTCTCAAGTCCAGTCAGTCTTCTGACAGCTTGTATCCGAGCCTCACGTGTGCGTGCGTCTTTTCTGACGTTCTCCGTTTATCGTCTTTAATTTTTCCTTCGTGAAACTGTTCCGTCTCGCCGAAACTTGAGATTAAATAAAATCCCACCGCAAACCGCTTCCGTATTCAAAACAAAGTGGACGAGAACTGTGCGTTAATGCATTAACCACATGATACGAAAAGAGAGAGAAAAAAATATACGAATTGTTGAATGCGCGAGAAATATAAACAATAATTTATTATTGAAAATTACATTAAAAAGTGATATGAATAAACAGTGTTTTACGCGTGTGTAGTTTTTGTTTCACGTGTGTGTATGATGCATCTCGCGTTTAAAGCAATAACTTTGCAATTCGTTGCACGCGAGACATTAAGAATAGAAGTTGTAAGAAAGAAAATATGGCGATGATAATTGTGTTAATTTTTTTCATCGATATAACTGCGAAGGAAAGAATACATCGAATCGATCGTTTTGCGAGAAAAAAGAGATTGTGCTAAAACTTGAAGAAAGATATCGTGTTCAAATATGGAAGACAAAAGAAAATAAAAGAGGAGCGAAGTGAGTGGAATAAACGAAGGGAGCAAAGCAAATCAAAGGGAAGCCAGAAAAGCAAACAGTATATACCATGTGATTTTTACGATGGTTTATATACCCACAAGATGCATATGGCGTACACTTCGTCTTCAATCCAATTTCAAGACTCATAGAGGGCACGAAGAGAACTGCACGGGTGGTCTGCTTTTACGATTACAACGATTTATTCTCTATTATCTATTTTGGACGATTTAATTGGAGTCAATAATCATAATTCTGCTTTTGTAAAACGAAGGTTTGAATCCGAGAAATTGGATTTACAAGTAGTAAAATTACAATTAATTCGTTAATTCGTTAATTAACAACATAGCAACATGAAATAAATCCGTGTTGAAACTTCCACTTTCCCGTGGAAACGCGAGAGAGAGAGAGAGAGAGAGAGAGAGAGAGAGAGAGAGAGAGAGAGAGAGAGAGAGAGAGAGAATATA